GCCCGAACCCGGCACCTGGCCACGTCTACAGCCTACAATGCAATATTATTATAATAATATTACACATATAGCTGCTATAAACGAGTCGAGTTGAACTCGAGCTTAGGGTGCTCAAGCTCGAGTTCGAGCTTTTAACGAACCGAGCCCAAAATCAAACTCGAACTAGGCTCTTTAAAGCACCGAGCTCGAGCCGATCTCGAACTTTAATTAACGAACCGAAAGATAAAAAAATATATAACAATTATGTTTTCGAGCCAAGTCGAGCTCGACTCGTTAACCAAACGAGCTTTAAATAAGATCAAGCTCGGCTCGTTGCATCGAACTCGAACCGATTCGAGCCAAACTCGTTTAACTTAACAACACTAGCTGCATGTGAAAATTAACTAATCCATGCAATATAAATACTCAAAACGTTGGGTCAAAAAAATGGATACAATTATCAAAAGAGCACACATTATAAAAAGGAAGAAATCACATAGCAGAAAATAGATAAATTCACAAACTTGCACACTGCAAAAGATAACCATTCATACATTGCTAAATGCCAAATATTCATGGTTATTACAAGGAAAAAAAAAAGATTAATCCTAGTTAAAACTAACTAATCACCTGGAAAATTGATTAATCTCCTTAATTAGTCACCTTTGGATTCATCTTCTTTAGGTTCCTCCCAAATTTTCCACACTCAAAACCACTGCTAATTAATAATCTTGATTAGCACAAAAAAGAGGATTTATAACTAATTAATCCATCAAAAACCTCCACTAATTAAATACCCAACAAAACCACATCAAAGAAGACCTAATACATTAAAATAGTTTTATAAAAAAAATAATAAAAAAAGCTAAATTAATCAAAAGGATGGCCTGTCCGAGTTTGCAGCCCCCAAACCAAACAAATCAGCAGGAAAAGGATAGCTCCCCTGCGGCGCCGCCGCCGTGCCACCACCGGAAGACGAGTTGAAGAGAGAACCGCCGCCGCCACCGCCCTCGCTGGCGTGTCCTCCGGCCGAAGCGTCGGACGACTGGGACACCGCCGCCGCCGCGGCTCCGTCGTCCTCCTCCAGCGGCAGCCTCTCGAACACCGCGTTCGCAAACGACGCCGCCACGAGCACCACCGCCCCCGACGCCACCAGGGGTCCCACCACGTTTCCCCCGACCACCTGCCCCTGCCCGCCGCAAAGGAACACCGACAGCCCTCCGGCCCCCGGAGGCGCCGGCGGGGGAAGCACCGTCCCCGTCAGCGACAGGATCTCGAACCGGCCGCGCAGCGTCGCCGATCCCCCCGCCGGCTGCCGCAGCGTCACGTCCGCCACCGCCCCGCTGCCGCTGAGCACGGAGACGCCGCGCCCCCTCCGCCGCGCGTACGCCGCCAGGCTCTCGACGACGTCGCTCCCGGCGGCGACCTCCAGCACGTGGGACCGGAGCGCGTTGGGGCCGTCGCGCGTGACGACCACCGGCGGCTTCGGTTTGTTCTTGGAACCCGGGGGACGGCCGCGCGGCCGGCGGCCGGCGGAGAGGCTACCTCCGGAGCTGGCGGCGGCGGCGTCGCGGTCCTTATCCGACGGGGAGTCCTTGGGGCTCTTGAGGTCGGCGGCAGGGTTGTGTAGGGGGACAGGAGGCGGTGGGTGGTTGTGCAGGTGGAGGTCCGGCGGAAAGTGAAGAGGGTGCTGCTGGTGCTTGTAACCCGCCATTATCAATCAGAAAAAGATAAGCTTAGAAATATTATAAAAAAATTTTGTTTTTTTTCTATAATTTTTAAAGGTGAGTAGATTTGGGGTATTAAATTAATATAGGAAAAGGATGGGGAGCGATAGATAAATAGAAAATAAAATAATAAATATATTAAATGAAGCTTATAAATTAATTAATTTTTTGGGATAGGAGGGCAGAGCAGAGCAGAGCAGAGCAGAGCAGAGCGCAGGGCACTCTAGAAATCAATCCAAGATTTTGATGAGACAGCCATACTTCAGGTTTTCACGTACACACTCTCCCAGGACAGTTGTTTTGATTCATCCGTTGATTTTTTTTTATTTTGTTTTATTAAAATAATATTTAAAATAAAATAATTAAAGTGGATTTAATGTAAAAGTGAGAAAGATGAATTGAAATAATAATTAATTAAAATTATGTGAGTGTATGAATAGTGAATTAAAGTTGATATGATACGTAAGAATGATTTATTGATTTTATTTAATTATATTGATAATATTGATGACAGTGGGTTAAGTTAAATTTTAGTTAAAAATTAGTTGAGTTAAAAATGATCAGATTTTTTTAGATAAATTTGTATCCAAGCATCCTTAGTGCTAGCTTGTTTATAGGTTTTTCTAAAAAAAAAAAAAACTCAACTCAAATTTAAGTCAATTTTAACATAATTCTATTATTCTTAATGTCAGTATATGGTCGGTGCGATGCGCAGAGAACAAATTATGATTATATTATAAATTTAATTTAAAAAATAACGTTAATCATGATTTATCCATTATTTTCAAAACTGGATCGGATCGAACAGTCTGACCATATGGATCGAGAACCCATTTATCAACCAGTTCGGTTCGCTTTAATAAAGTGTTTACTAGAGAACCAAGATATCCGATTTCCAGTAGCACAATTAGGCGTAGAATAGAACTCTGATCGTAGAGCACTGAAGGTCAATTACATCGAGCCTAGCATCGGGTGTCGCAGAAGCCCCTCCCAAAGTCGTGGATAGAGCTCTAGGCTAAACATGAAGCTATAATTACGGGAACAATTCCGTTCTTATTTTATTGAAATTGCAGCTTTTCACTTCCTTGTTCTAGAGGTAGTCAAAAGTTCCGGCCATCCATACTACAGACAATAGTAAGAAGCTTATTTCCCGATCGTCTTCTGCTTTCACTGGATTCAGTTAGTCAACACCAATTGGCCAGACTGGTAGTATCGATACGATTTATTAAATAAATTTTGTTACATTTAAAACTATCTTCAATATAAATAAAAGTACATATTTAAATAAAATAAAAATTTATAAAATATTTATCATTTAGTTTTTTTTTTCTCGAAATGATAGAGATATTATATAAAAACGCACAAATGTGCAAAAAGACAGCCACAAGCTGAACACAAACAGCCAACAACTGAATAAAAATGGGAGGACATGTCAAAAGACCGCCTAGAACCGACCCCAACAGAATAATACATGGTAACATAAAAATACACAAGGACACTAAAAAATGACCCCAACATGGAGTTGATATCTGAGTTAGCCATGAACGAACCAGATAGTCATCGCCTACCAAGACCCGGGCAGAGGGCTCGGTTCAGCACAGAAGTGCCGGTCTGATGTATAGAATTAAGCAACCAGGACCACCACGGGAACATTTTCCGAGATCGGCACCAGACTCGTAAATGCATGGGCCGACCTCGATGGGTGCCGGGCTGAAAGAAGGATCCTGGGTGTCCCATAAGCATATTCAAAAGAAATGCCGACCTGAGAGTCCAGAGCGGTCACCTTGGGGGCGAGCATCGGGCTCAATATCATTAAAATATATCCACTTGGAGGGTCATCATTGGACGATGGGACGGGATGTCATAGCCTGCAACCCTACTGAACAAACTTAGTCAAAAAGTCTGCCAGCATTAAATGTCCCCCATGCGTGCATTAAATGTCTGACAGACAATGATTGAAGGAACCTCAAATCGCATTAAATGCTGTCAGAGAGACGCCGAACTACTCTGCAGAATCGCTGTGCGACAGGATTGGTGAACAGTACCTGAACAGTACCACATTTAAGGACACTATAAATAGCAACTCACTTCATTTATTTTGGGTTGTTGAATCTCAACTAACTTAGTCTTCTCTCTGCTTTCTCTCTCTAAAATTGTAAGTATATCGCAAGTGTCGACCTCGTACGAGAGGCTGACCTCGTGATCGCTTAATAAAATCGTAATTAACCTATATCTTTCCTTTGTTTTCAGTCCCGCACTTTCATTATTCATTATTTTAACCGTTGATTGAAAACG